CCGCGCTGCAGTCTGTGCGTACGGTTGGCCTTAGGCACCATGGCGTGTTCCGCGTCCGGTGTGTGCCTTTGTACGTGGCTGGGGCCGGGGTCTTTGGGGAACACCGCGTCTTTTAGCGAAGGCGAGGGGGGAGCTCTGTGCTTGGTTCAGCGTCCCTCGAGGCGAAGGCAGCGGCGGAGGGTCCAGGTGGCAGCGGAGCGCCCCGGGACAGCGGGTAGGCTGACCTCCCTCTCTCCCCGCCAGTTCCTGAGGCGGCAGCAGGTTCTTCAGTTGTACAGGAAGATCCTGCGGGCAGTTCGCGAGGTCCCTGCTGAAGCCGATCGCCAGTATTTGAAGGACTGGGCCAGGGAGGAATTCAGGAGGAATAAGGATGCTACAGAAGAGGTGAGGGTCAGGAACCCGCAGCCCCGACCGCCTGCCCTCAGCACGATCAGTGCGCCATCCTGTTCTTTGTCACCTGGGTTGGTGTGTAGGTGTCACTTCCAGACTGGTGTGAAGTCTCCTGTTAGTCTTTTCTTTTAAGGATCATTGAAGCTGAAGAAATAATTCAGCTTCTCTAAATGTTATTATCCTCCCCGTTGGCAGTAGTCATGTTTCTCTGATTTCCAGATAATAATCTGGAATTAAGAAGCTGAAAACCAAGCAAATCCTGCTTACTCAAACCACAAATCAGAAAAAATATATTTAATAATACAATAACTAACATAAAGTTACTAACGGTTAAGCTTTCTATAGCCTCTTTTTCTTCATCTTTAATTTCACATATATGCAAGCTGACCACAACCAAATTGGATGGTTGTGGGTATGACATGCAGAAACCTGTACACTTCTTGCGTGTCCCCTGTCCTCTGTTTTCTAGTTTGTCCCTTTTTCTCGCTAGCGCTCAAGGAGTTGGTGGCTGCATCACACAGACAAAGCATAACAGTATTTCTTTGATAAAAATACCGTTGAGAGAAACACCCACTTGATCTGTAAAACACCCGTCTTCATCTTGGCCCTGTGCAGGTGTCGCTTGCAAAGGCCATAGACACAGAGGCGTAAAGAAAACATTATTAGGAGTCTGAATCCAGTTCAAAACCGAGTTTTAAAGCAAAGCCATAACCAGCCCCTAAACACATCATTACAGAATTGAAGAAAATTAATTAATTTATTCACCTGGTTTTTAACCGTCTCGGTGACTATAGCGTTACTTCACGCACAGAAACAGATCACACTTGTGCTGGTAAGACCTGTGTGTGTTTTAGTGTGTTAAAGCCTGAATGCTCCTGTAAAACCTGTGCTGTGTACGGCCGTTCCGTTGAGTCCATTTTGTTTTACAGGATACAATCAGGATGATGATTACTCAAGGCAACATGCAACTTCAGGAACTTCAAAGAACACTTAAGCTGGCAAAATCCTGATCTTAATTTTGTTGACAGCTGGACTTTCATCTGCTGTGAACAAGCAGGGTGGTTTTTCCAGCATGCGGTTACAACGGCAGCCCTTGCTGAAAACCTGCTAATGTCTGACCGTGGAATCTCCCACAGTGGGGTTTTTGGTTTGGTTTTTTCCCCCCTTCTTCTTCTTGGTTTGGTTATCTTCTCATGTGGAAATCACTCAAGACACAAAGGGCTTTAAAGAACTGAACTGATGATGTGCTGTGGGAAAAGCAGAAAGCACCAAAAATCACACCAGCAGTGTTACGCCAGGGAAATGGAAAATAAATATAAGTAAGTCAGCTGCTTCGTCTGTTTTCTGTGGTGGCAACACCCATAGTGGTAACAACACCCATAGTGGTAACAGCTCTTACTGTACTGGGCCAAGGATTTTTACTAAAATTTGGGCTAAATAAATGGGCCCAAAACAAATAAACATGATAAAATGTTAAGAAAATGTTTTGTATGTAGATGCTGATTTTCAGTTATAGCCGAATAAAACTAAAAAGCAGAGGTCTTTATATATGAAAATGAGAGATTTTAGCCCCAGAAATGGTTATTACCACGCTAACAGGAAAGTATTTAAGTCCATATGAAGCAGAATTACAAAAAGCTGTAGCTTAAATAAGAAAGAATGCCTTTTTTTTTTTCCCTAATTCTTTTTCTGAAAGTCATTGTAGGATCCTTCCCTATGATGATTATTTAGCTTTGCAGTAAAGGATGTGGCTCAGGCAACCAGTGAGGCTGCCGACGAGTTCGGGCTGGTACTGCTGCCCCTGATCGCCACTGCCCTGTGGGCTTGTCAAGATGAAATCGCCTGCCAGCAGCCTTTGGGGTCCAAGTATAGTCCGCTGGGGTAAGTGAATCTGCTCCAAGTGTGTGCTGCAGAGACAGGTAGATAATGCAGGTATTTTGCAAAGAAGCCCTTCAGCTCCAGTAGTTTTGAAGGAGGGAGGACTACGGAGGGGAGGAGAAAGGAACGAGCAGAAAATGCCTCCCTTTATTTTACAGTACACTTGTTGGCTTGGGAAAGCCTCTAAAATCAGCACTCTGCGGCCAAGTTCCTGTCTTAAATTGCTGCCCCGGTAGCGCAGTTTGTACGCGAGGCAGGTCAGTAACGCCGTAGCCTTCGCCTCTCCCTTGCACTTGGGCAGGCTCCGGGGCGTGCGTGTGATCAGCCGCACAGCTCAGCCCTGTGCCACTCCCTTCCGAAACGGTGGGTGCGTGCAACAGCTAACGAGGGGCAGCCAGGCCCTGCAGCCCCCCTCGGCCCAGCCGGCAGCCTCAGTTTCCATGTTTTACAGCCACAAACACAAAAGCTTAGAAGTTGGACTCCAGTTTTCTGCTCCCCCCTCTGAGTCAAGTGAGGGGAGCCGTGTGCGTTTTCTCTGGCTAGAAAACATTACACCACAGACTTCTGAGCAACGCGGGCTTCTGAGCAACACTTTTAATTGCTTGGCAAAACATTCACTTTATCCAGATGATACAAAACTTAAATAGCATGCTGCTGCATTCCTACAGTAGCTTCAACAAAACCGTAAACATACGAAAGTGTCTATATTAGACTAGAGAAGTGAGAGCAATAAAACTAGGATTTCTGTAACTGCAGATACGCTTTTCTTCTCTTGATAGTGCATTAATAGGAAATTTAAAAATATGGTTATATAATACAATTTTCTTTGCTTTATACACCTGCTAAGAGGACAAAAGCTTAATTAATTACTAATTAAGTCAACGGTGTCTTCAATACTGTATTGCGTATTGAGTTTAGGGGTCGTCAGTACAGAAAAACATCTCTTTCTCCTTGGCATAACAGTACTATCCTGTGTTTGAATTGGTTTTGAACAATCGTTCTGTCATGATCTCTTCAGTAAACTTTTCTAACAGAATGTGATGGAGCGTCCTCAGAGGTGTAAGGAGGAAACCCTAAAGGGGTCCAGATGCAACGAGTTACAGTGCTTCTAGTTTATTTGGAGTCTGTCAGCCTGGACAACATTGGTCATTGTAAGATTTGATAACAAAACACATCCATAAAAAGTGAAAATGTTGTCGCATTCTATTTCGTGGGACTGTTTGTAAAACCAGTCCTAAGACATGCAGACTCACTGGGGCCCAGCCTCTCTTTTTTAGAGGTACAAGGGAAAAAACACCTGCAGGAATCCTTCAGAGGAACGAAGGAAGACAGTCTGACAAGGAGAAAATCCTGACTGCAAGAAAAGAAACATTTGAGTACAGGGAACCAAGCTTTCATAGAGAAAGGACTTTTTCAAGGTTCCTCAGTAGTAGAGAATTCAGCCATTTGCTGCTTGAAGGAAAAGAGATTTATATAAAAATAACACCTAACAAGTAAGAGCATGGTTACAGTAAAATATCTGCCATCTGTGCCCTAAACAACTTCTCAGTCAGGTTGCTGGAGTACAGCCCCAACAACCACGTGACCACAAGGAGCTTTGCAACCAGGACACCGTTAAAATAAAGACAAATCTAATTTAGCATTTGTTTTAACAATGTAAAACTGAAAGAAAAGCAAAGTGGCAACTGAAGCCTCTGTACCTAATGGGATGACTCACTTTAGCATCTCGTTCCGTGGGAGCCTGGCCTCTCCCAGCTGGAAGCCCGTATCTGTCAGCCCAGAGAGGCTGTGGAGTCTCCTCCTCTGGAGACATTCAAAACCCGCCTGGACACGTTCCTGTGTGACCTGCTCTAGGTGGTCCTGCTCTGGCAGGGGGGTTGGACTAGATGATCTTTTGAGGTCCCTTCCAACCCCTAACGTTCTGTGATTGTGTGATCTGTCACCTACCTCGGCTTGTGATTTGAGCTGGTTCTGTAGCTTCTCTCCACTGACTAGAGAGGGGCCGTGGGGAGTATCTAAAGTAGTATCAAAGCCCTTCATCACTAAGGAATTTCTGTCAAAAGCGCTCAGACGTCCTGGATTTACTTCAGAATTGGTATCACCATGTGTCTACATGTAGTGGAACCCTCTAGCCACACATGACCTATGTGGAAATAAGGAAATTCCCTTTTCAGAAAGCAGTTTTGGTTTCTAATGCAGTTTGTTCTCAAGCAGCACCTGGAAATGGAGAGTGCAATATTTAAGAGACTTTTGGAAGTAATAAAGAAAGGATCTAATCTGCAGCATCTCATTGTCATCGGCACAGTCTGCACATGAATTCCCCTCGGTTCTAGAGTTCCCGAAGTTATTTCTACTCCTGAAAAAGAACCTTTTCTTTAGACATAACAGGCACTGCTAGTATATATCATCTCAGTATCCCAGATTCCCATGCAGCACGTTCCAAAACGAGTCCGGTTGCTTGTCTTTACCTGCTTGGCAGATGCTAGCTCTCTTTCTGCACCTTAGTCCTTAATTTGCTGAGCTCCTCTTCTAAGCTTTTGATATGCTCCTTGAGCGCAGCTTTGTCTTGCTGTGCTTTCTGATTAGCTTGGCACCGGGCTTCTTCTATCTTCCGTTCATACCACTTCTCCATCTGCGTGGAAACGGCCTCAAAGAAGTACTGTGTTATCTCCAGGGCCTGGGAGGTGTCTCGGAGCGGAGGGGCAGGCGGCTGTCCCGCAGGCAGGGCGGAGGGCTGCGGCTCCTGGCTCTGATGTGCCCCGGCGGGGTGCAGAGCTTTGTGCCTTGACTGCCCGCTTTTGCTGGACTTCTTTGTCTGAGTTCCTTTGTCGATGAAGTAGCCGCTCTGTGGTTCAGTCTTTGCAGGCTCAGCCAAGGGCTGCAAAGCAGCTTGAACCTTAACGTGTCTTAATTTGGAGCCCACAAGCTCGGAGGAGGGCAGCTCCTGCTGGTACTTGTGGAACGTGCTGGCGCTAACAACTTTGTCCTTTGGCCTGACATCTTGAGCAGGGGCAGAAGAAGAACCTGGTCCGCCAGCGATTAACTGTTGCTCTGGACCTACAGAATAAAATATATACATGTATGTTCAGGAAAGCTCTGGGCATTTATTTTAGCATTTAGAAATCCTCGTTGCTGATGAACGAAGCAGTTTCCCATGTACCACGCTGTGTGTACAGGGCAGAGGCCTATGTTAGTTGATCGCATCTTCACAGTCAGGTGATACAATAAAGAGTCATTAAAAGAGAAAAGCTGGCTCAGGCAGAGGCACTGCATTGCAGCTGTGGGACTGCAGCCTGACAACAATCAAAGGACTCCATCAGAAGGACGCGTAATGAAGATCAGGCTAGATTCCCAAAGTATGTCTGGTGATATTTATGAACCCCCCTCTGCTTCTACAAAACTTGAAGCTCCACTAATTTTGCAAAGGTAACGCATTCTGATGTGTCTGAACTGTTCAATGCAGTATAGCTCACGCTTGTGCTACCACAAGATCTCCTGAGTGGTCTTCTGCCTTTCTAGTCTGACGGGGTATCCATGTCCCTGTCTGTTCACTTCATGTAGTGTTTGGGGGGGCATGTACAACGTATTTTACAGAAGCCCAGGGCTTTGACAGCACTCTCCTTGGCTATGGAGACCTGGCCATTCTGCCTGTGTCTTTTTTTTTCCTCAAAAGCTTCCCTGGCCAAGTACAGAGAGGTGGCTTGAACTCTGTCTTCTGGTGGTCTTGATCCCTGATTAATGTTCTCAGCTATTCTTGTCAAATGAACTAATAATTAAACAGACATTGGTTCAAGGAAAGAAAAAAAGAGAGGTTTATTCCATATCCTTGCAGTTTGAATATTAACAAGGGAAATGAGCATTATAGGTTCACATCCCTGCACCCTGCCATTATAGGTTCCACGCACCTGAAAAGCACTAAATACAGTACACTTTCTTCATTAGACTTTGGATAATCTGCCCACCTTCCTGACAGACAGTGGGGTGGGAGCCATTCTGACTGGGAAGCTGGAGAAATTTCAGAAAACAGAGTTATTCAGAGCATCAAAGGACTTGGCTTCAAAGACACAGTGACATGGAAGCATCAGGAAGAGTCAGTGGAATTCCACCCAACTGTGTCTTAAAATATTCCCAGCAGCTGCCTTGAAGTGTATTCTAATCCCAAAACATTAGCCATTTGGATGGGGAAAAGCACACAGCCAGGATTAATAGCTGTGGTATTAATACCAGCATCCCTCAGTTAATTAGCTCGCCTTTGTATGAATATGACATCTAAGTACCTGACAAGGTTGTGCCCGACGCACCATCTTGTTGAATGCAAAAATGTTGCCCAAAGCTCTGTTCTGGCATCTGGACTCTGCTCCTTCCCCCGTCTTCCGAGAGGCTATTTGGAAGCGTGACATAGGAATGCTGGTGGGAGCCCTCTGACTGCAGCACGGGCTGGTTGGCTTTACAGTCCTTGGCACTGTGGGGGTTGTTCTCAGTATCCAGGGTCTCAGTGAGAGACTCACAAGTGGATAAAGTTGATTTTGGTCTTGATGACCTGGAATCTCCAGAAAGCTTGAGCTCCAGATTCTGAATCTTCAACATGCACCAAGTCTTCAGCTCCTCGACCAAGGAAATCTATGACAAAGAGACTGTGAATTAGATGATCCTATGACTAGATCCTGTCGTTCCTGGGCTGCTGAGGATGTGTGTCAGGGACAAAGAGAAGCAAGCCAGGTAGCTGTGGGCTTAGACTCCCTGTACAGATGTGCATGCTGTCACTGGGAATATTTAAAGGACTGCAAATCAGAAAAGATGAACAACTATGCATTAGGTAATGGAAGGCACCCTCTTTTCGTCCGAGCTACCACCTCTTGGATTTGAATGTGTTACTTCAAATGCAGCTCTTAAGTCCTCTAATCAGAGATGATTTGTTTAATCATACAGTCAATGGTGCTTTCTGAGTGCAAGGGACAGCATGCGTGGTCAAAGCTGCCATTTTTTAAGAGTGAAATTCAAATCCAACACTGCCGGGACACAGCTTCATACCATTGCCAACCTCGGCTCCTCTGTTGATTCGGTTATAAAGATGAGACCCACACTAAATGATAAATTACTAACGGCTTTCAAAGGTGCTTAATAAGTGTCAGCTGCAAAGGCATTTGCCAGTCATCGTTTCAAATATGAGTAGCTCTTTTACCCTCTTGTTCACATGACGTCGTGAATTTACATCAGGCCCTCCTATGCGCACAGACGTTTAGCCCACGCATTTAGTAAAGCCCAGCTCAGTTTGCCCAGTAGTTCCAGTCAAACCCAAGAGAACAGGAACAGCTGGTATCGCTTAGTGGTAATTTCAATTCACCAGGATCTCATTTCTTAAATGGAGATTACAAGGAGATGGAGCACAAGCCTAGACATTCAGAAGCCAGTATAATACTTAGAGGTCTCTTACTACGAAATAAAAACTAACGCTGCCTTAGTTTGGGAAGTACTTTTCTTTTGAGAGAAGAGTGTTTTGCAGGTGTTAGACTGAAATATCCTGATCAGTAGTTTATGCTAGGATTATCACAGCTGCCAGTCTTTTAACACGGATTTGGAACAGTCTTACAAAAAGCGGTGACATTTGACTAGCACAGAGAGTATTTCTCAAAATACCAATAATGAGGAAGTTAATTGTATTTTAAATGTACCCGTGTGAGTGGAGAAACACGGGTTTCTTAGCATGTTTTAATGGTGAGTTTTTGCAGAAGCTGGATCTCTACAGGAACAGTTATTCTTGTCATGCTGGTTAAACAAGCACACAGAAAGAACTTGCCTGTTGGCAGTAGTACACAGCTTGGCGATGGTGTACTGTTGCCAAAGTCAGAGGGAAGAACTGCAGCCTTTTAGTACGCGGGGGGGGAAAAAAGATCAGACAGAGAAGAAGGGAGAGGTCCCCAGGGCACACAGCCCTGAGAAGTGAAGGGAACAACACAGATCGTAGCCTTTGTTACTGTTGCAGACGTTCCTGTAGCCGTCCTTCAGGGAAGCAAGAGCTGAAAGGAACACTGTTAAAAACTTAGCAGTAGGGATTTTTGCAAAGCACAATGTTAGAAAAAAGGTACTTTGTTACAGGTCGCACACTTCAGACCCACCAAGTCAAATTGTGACAGTGGATTTCACATTCCCTATTTCTAATGCAAAAGCTTTATAAATTTGGTTTAGAGATTAAGGTGGTAGATAGGAATAATTTGGTCTGTGAAGCTCTTTTGCCTGTTTCAACAGATAAATCTCCAATAACTCTCTCTTCCTGCTGGAACGAAACTCTTGAGCTGATCCATCTGAGCTAACAGGGAGCCGCTGTTTCAAGCCCTACCTGCCGTTTCTCCCCCTCATTCTTTTCCAGCTCAGTGTGCTGTTGCAGGCGGTGAAGGCACTCTGTTCTCTCTGCGGACAGCCGCTCAGCCATGAGCTTGTCTAAAACACGGAGCTGTGGAAAAAAAAACACCACAGTTTAGCTGAGTTGATCATGTTAAAAACCAAACAAACCCCCCATCTGTGAACCTTGTAAGTCAAAGTACAGTCTGTCTTTCAGTCTTCATTTCTAGGAATGTTGCCAACTACCATTAGACGTAGCTTGCGAAAAGGTTCAATCACAAAATTCTTGATGAATAACAATTACATTAAAAATAAAAAACAATTTAGAGGATCTTGAATCTCAGTGCAAACAGAATTCAGCAAGAGGAATTTTTACAATGATGAACCAACCAGCTGTAGGACTGCCTTCTGCCTTTCCCTCTTAGGGCCTCAAGCAGTTTGGATTTATTTTCTAAAGATGCACCAGAAGCCACTTAACACATTAAATGTGTTTTTCTCAATACTCCAGTTTCCAACATTAGATCCCTGTGGAATGTCACAGTTCACTGGTCTTGAGTATTAGATTTCAGGTTCGTTTTTACAACGCAAGAAGCAATAAACAAATGGGGACAATGAAAATATTCATTAAACTTAGGATATGTTTCTTATAGTCATGTGGGCAAGCAGACCTCTGGGTCACATTCTTACTTGATGTTGAGTTTTGCTTTCCATCTGGCCCAGCTTGACATTCATCTTATCTTGTACTGTCCCAAACTCAGCTTTTATCTCTTCCACCGTTGCCTCCATCTGATTCTCCAGTTTATTTATCAGGGGCTCACAACGACATCCATTTATCGGTGCCTGAAAGGAGGAACACATTTACTTGCTACATCGCACTGTCCTCTTGGCGCACTTAGAACATTATCACAGCCCCTTGAGTGAGTCTTGGGCTCTTCTGTACCATGTACTGTATCTCACCCTCCTGACAACATCTCGCAGCAGCTCAGCAAACAGGCTGTTAGTTGGAAAAGCACAGACTTGAAAAGGATTGATCTAACTTACATGGACACATCCTAACACACAGCAGCGTTGATGTCGCTGGGGCTACAAGCAGCAGTGAGCTCAGATCACACGTGTCGTGGCGCCGTGTGCCGTATGAGGGGGTACCACAGCCCCATGTCTTGATGCTGTAATTCCGAATTGTACCAAAAGAGCGTGATTTTGTGGATGTGCGTGGGTTTGTGTGCGTTTGGCTTTTCATCTAATGCCAATGATGTGCAGCTTTTTGTGTACTGTATGGCAAGGTCTCGCTGCTGCTGCTGCCTGCCTTCACCCTGCTGGCGTTCAGCTGACCCTCGCCTGCTAGGCACACCGCTGCCTGCCTTCGACTCGCGCGGCACCATCCCAAGGCTCCTCTGCAAGCGGAGCTGCACTGACCACATTTAAATCTCTCGGGGAGACGGTCGCAGAAGGCTCCCTTAGGCGAGGACAGATAATCCTCATCAGCTTCCTCGGCAGCCCGCAGGCAGAAATTGGCTCCTTCGGGGGGTGCGGTGTGAGTCAGGATGCCTGCAGACAAGCCCCTCCCTCCTTTGGCCCTACAGCACTGTTTCACAAACCGGGGGTTATTCCCTTGGCAGTGGAAGGCGGGTGGTTTGCAGAGTGATAGAGAAAGCCTCAGAAATGCATGTGCTGAAGAAACTCTGTTTGCTATTCAGGGCCTGAGGGCATCAAAGAAGACAGACAAGCAAAAAAGAAGGGGAGAGAGGAGTGTCGTGTATTTCAGGAAGCACTCTAAGGGAGTCTAGCTCTATTAAGCTAATCTTTGCAAATAGATTAGATTTGTACACAAATCCTGTCTGCTCACCGCACCTTTCTTTCTGCTCCCCAAGTCCTTCCTACTGGCCCATCCTCCTACCATCAGGTCCTAGGGGCAGGGCGATGCTCCTTTTAACATGTGGAAGGTCCTCCATCCTTCCTGAGGTCTGCTGTTAGGATAATCCCATAGCGCCCCTGTCTGGAAATTTCCCAAGTATTACACAGTGAGATGTTGGAGAATATGGCCAGTAAAACCTTTGGAAGTCTGACTTCCGTGATCTTCAGAATCTGCTGAATTTTTAACTACAGCAAGGGACCAAGGAGAGGTGGTGGACAGATGTGAAAAGCTAAGGGAATGAAAGGGCTGACCTCCCAGAGGTACGGGGGGCGGGCAATATTAAGAAAAAAATAATGTAGATGTTTACAATGGCTACAGGGTAATTTGCTGACTGTTTTCATGCTTTTTTATAAATGTGTGCTGGTAAATACTTGTGTGATAAAATGACTAAAATATCAATCTCTAAACGGGAATAAATGCGCGAGCTGTAACTCCACATTTATTTGTGAACCAATTCCTGTAGAGCTCCTGCCTCCAGTAATCCTAGAATCCCCAAAGACATGTTGCAGTAAACAGAACTGAAACAAAAACGTATCGAGCGTACTCACACTCTTGGTTTAGGTAGTAAGCATCAGTGTTTGCACACTGCTTTCGTTTATTTTCACTGGCAAAGCTCCTTGCATTTCCTGTTGGAAATCTTAGTATTTCAAAATGTATCATAAAAGTTCCAGTGTCCTTTTCAATCACTGTTCACACCTTATCTCCAAAAACGAAATACTTTGTAGACAAAAACTAGTTAACTGTGTCTTCTTCAACGCACAGAAAACCAGCTTCTCATTTCGACTTCAGGCCGGAATGCAGCTGAAGCCCAAACAAGGAAAACAAATCCGCAGTCGTGATTTCACACTGCGTCTCCCTCCACGAGGGCAGCGGCCGGCTCACCTGCATCACCTTCCCGTCCTTCCCTCGATAGAGCGTGTAGAGCTGGTAGGCTCGGACCTCGTGGGGAGGGGGTGGGGAGGAGCAGTGATGTTTACTTCTGCGCTTAGGCACGTTTTGCTGGGGCCGAGGGAGCGTCTGCTGATCAGCTGGGGAAATGGGGTCCGAGAGTGCCGAAACCTGCACAGAATACACACCACGTTTTCCCTATTCATGAGCCCGCTGGGAAACTGTTCCTGGTGCGAATGGGACAAACCCGTTGTGATAATTACGGCAAAGACCTGATTAAAACACCAATCCAGCTGCAGTGGCTGGCCACACCCTTGGCGTCTGTCAGCTCAATAACCAGATTTCCACACAAATCTGGTTCATGTGACCCTCAACAGCAGAATTTTCCCACCAGAAACCGGTTCTTCTGAAGACTACCTCTGCCCCATAAGCGTGGCAAGACTGCTGCCCAGACTCAGCGACACGACGAAGGGCCACCTGTACTGTTGCCCAACAACTATCCCCTCTCTTTCTGCTGTTTTAAATCTACTGACCGATACCTTTTCCTTTGGCTTTTTCTTTTTGCTCTTCTTCCCTTTGGGATCTGGTGAGGTTGACCGGGGTTCATCCTTCAGGTCGCTCTTCCTCTGTGGTGGCTGGTCGCTGCTTGGTGTGTCGTCAGCAGCTGAGACACTGCCCTGCTCAAAGCAAAGACAGGGAGTTCAGAGCAGTTGCAGACACGGGGAAAAGGTGACTTTTCTTCAATTTCCCAGTTTTAAGCTGCTCTGCACACAGGAGCGGGCAACTCTTCAGTGGCAAAGCATGACAGACCGCCTCAGAGAGCTGCTGTGGTCCTACACAAGTGATGGCTCCAAACAGGTTCAGTCCTGATGGGTTTTATTTACACTCCCCTCCTCGCAGCAGATGCAGCTGGTAATGCTGAGCTGTACCTTGCTCTGTACCACTTCATCCCGTGGTACTGACTGAGCTCGCCTTTCCTCCTTCAGCCTCTCTCTCTTCTTCCTCAGGCTTCTTCCACGGTTAAAGCGCGAGACCTGAAGGCAGACCACGCTGTTACTCAGTGACGTTACGCTCTTTCCTACCACAGAAGCCAAGCAATCGAGCAGACCTTCACCTCTGTCTAAAAGTCACTGGATAAAGGAGAGTGCACTGCCAGATGGATGCTGATGGGCCAAGCAACGCGGGCGTTCATAGCCGTGAAAACACACCACCACTGAGCTAACTCTATCAGGGCACACTGCTGTCCCTGGAGGGGGTGAGCGCCGCCTCCTGTGTCCTCAGGCTGGTTTCCAAGCCAAGCCCAGCCCTTCTCACACAGAGGTGATAAGGAGGAGCTGGGCAGGGATCATGCCTGGTCACATACCAGAATATGGAGCCCTCCCACGTGCCTTCTGGCCTGAAGTGTGTTGTAGCATTTCACATACAGCAGCAGGGTATAAACAGGACATTTTGTCCCCATTTGAAAGCATCCTGCAGTGCGAGCAACCACCCTGGGGACGGGACATGTCTGAGGCAGGCAGCAGAGTGACACAATGCAGGAGCTTTCAGTTACAGGGCAGCTTTCTAACCCCTGGGCCACAGCAGGGAACAAATGCCGCTGGCTGCTCCATGCTCTGCTAGTCAGGACAGCGGGACTTCTGACAGCGCTTAACGCTGAGGCTTAATCCGCACACCTTGCTGGGCTTGGGGGCTGCAAGGCTCCACATCAACAGAGCTGAGGCGAGCACACAATGCCGGAAGAATGTAGGCACCTTTCACAGCAGAAGATTAAGGACCAGGGGATGTGGCCTCTCAAGGTTAACCGGCCTTAGCTCTATGTGTATGTGTGCGCTGGGGAGAGATTTATAACGTACCTGTGATGCTTTAGTGAGGAGGAGAGCAACCTCAGGGTTATTGTGCTGTCTGGCAACCTCTAGAGGGGTCTGACCTGCCTGAGAGGAAAAAGAAAATGGCATTTCCTTCAAAACACAAGCTACTGGAAATGTGGAATTTCTCCACCCAAGGGATGGACACGCTCTGTGCACAAGAGTAAAACAACTAACTGCGATCATTTACCCAGATTTAATTCAACACCCAAATATTTTCTATTAACACTATGAAAGGTGTTGAAGGGAGTCTGCATTAATACAAAATACCAAAGAAACTCCACGTCCTGCTTACATTGTTGACAACAGATGCATCAGCCCCTGCCTCCAGCAACAGCTTAACCACCTTCCTGTGATTTAGAGCAGCAGCTACATGGAGCGCAGTATCCCCTGCCTGCAAGTCAGAAAGCAGAAAACAACCACGTAACACAAGTCCTTGGGTCTCACCCTGCAGAAATCACACCTTCCTAAAAGATGCTCAGAGGTCGTAAGACCTACACTTACTGATGCAACAACTAAACTTAAATAAAGCCTGGTCAGTAAAAAAAGCAGAGTTGGGAGGAAGGGGACAGGAGGGGGCAAGGTTTTAAGAAATGCAGCTGGGGCGCTGGTGACCTGGTTTAACTAAACCAAGCAACACTCAAGACAGCCCAGCTCTATGGCCAGCAAACAGATACAACATCCGAGGGCAGAACTGGTTTTCCCACCCCAATCTTATCTTTTTTTTTTTTTTTTTTTTTTTTTTTTAAAGTTTTATTTTTTT